TTACAGAACAAATGGAATTAATTTCGTCCATTATAGCAAAGCTCAGGTTAACTGGTCGATTTGAAGTGAAACAATTGACGACACCCGTCAATTGTTTCGAACTCGGGCTAACCAATCGGAGCGCAGTTGTCGCAGTATCGTTATGGCAGAATAGTTTTCAAACAAATTAAATGACATTTCATGTCTATTTCTGGTTATATACTCGATGGTTAAAAATAAACTTCTGGCAAAGGGTACTGTACTGTTGATGAGTACATGAACGATAAAAATGCGTGGAGTTAATATTATATCGTTTTGTTGCCTACTTACAATTATGAGTTGTTCTATTTTATACTTGACTTGTCTTTTTAACCGACTTTAAAAAAGGAGGAGGTTCTCAATTCGTCTGTATGTTTTTTTTTGTATGTATGTTACGCGATAACTCCGGTATTTGTGAACCGATTTTCATGATTCTTTTTTTGTTGGAAAGGGGGTACTTCCATAGTGGTCCTATTTTATTTTGAAGAAAATCAACTTACCAAATAGACGTAATTCCACGTACTTTTGAGGTCGGTTTTTTTAGTACTCTGTGCTGATCACTATTTCAATTTTTATTGAATTGATATTCAATTATTTTTTGTGAAATTGCTCCACTAGTTTGTTATAATTATTAATACAAACATCGGACGCTCAGAAACTTGTCTTTCTTTATAATCCCTTGCGTGATTTTGACTGTTCAAAAGTGCTTGTGAGTCAGGCTTACTTGAATAAAACTTTATTATTATCAAAAGCGCATCTAGTTGCAATGGCAGGTAAGTCCCAATAGAGTGTCAGTGACTGACAATCGCTAACGATAGATGTTACCTTACTAAAACTACCAAGGAAATTGCAATGAATATCTTCAGTTTTATCTCGTTATATACTGGTACATTAGTGCCATCGACTCGCCACTGAAGAGCAGAATACCAAAGAATTGCAACGGTAGTCGAATAGTAGCTCGATGTCTAGCCACATCGAGTATATAACTAGAAATAGAGATGAAATAATTGCCATCTATCCCTGGCAACTCATCAGGCAAATGGGCCTTATGCCACTTTTAAATATCAACAAATTAGAAAGCTGAAATAGTACAGCGCCAACAACAGACCTGTGTCTCCGTATATTCTAAAAATATTCCGTATTTATTGTAATGAAGATAATATCTCTAGCAATTTTCGTCCATTATAGCTAAGCTCAATTCGGGCTGGTCAATCGGAGCGCAGTTGTCGCCGTAATGATTTGGCAGAATAGTTTTCAAACAAATTAAATGAAATTTCGTCTCTATTTCTGGTTATATACTCGATGGCTAGCAATTATATAAATATATAAACGTACAAAATCCTGCATTTGAGGCCCTGTACTTCAGCTAACAATGTTTGCAAACGAACTAACTGATTCCTTTTTCTAAAACTAGCTTTATAAGCATTATTGTGTTCAATGTACGATGCGTTAAACTTATCAAATTAACCCACATTCAAAAACAGTAAATTAATTTAAACTGCTCATTTTGCCGATAAAGTATTCTACATAAGTGACGCACAGGCTTTATCAATAGCTTGTTTTTTCATTCACAAACATGCACTAACATTTGGTATTTACACATTGATTTGAAAGTAATGAAATTGCGATCTCGTCATTTTGTCTATGGCTGTTATAAAGGCGTTTCTTTTTACATTTTTAACAGAACTTAAAATGGAGAAGTTTCTGAATTCGACTGTATTTTTTTTGTGCCATGTTACACATTTAGTCTGACATTTGTGAAGCCGTTTCGATGATTCTTTTTTTATTGGAAACGGGGTAACTCAGTGTGGTCGCATTGAAATTTGGAGAAAATTACCTTTTTAGCCAACTTTAAAAAAAGAAGGAGGTTCTCAATTCGACCGTATGTTTTTTTTTGGATGTGTTTGTTGCAAAGAGGGTACCGCCATAGTGGTCCCATTTAATTTTGGAGAAAATCATACACCTCTAAGATTTGGAGAGGCTGTTCACGCATGAAGATTTATTTTTATAAATAGCGCCTAAATTTTATTGTAAGGAGCAATTATTTGAATGATTGATTTTGCTATTCTCCAATTCAAGGCGTTTTTCTCTCGATATACTGTGAGTACTGAGAACCGATTTTTATTATCTCCTGTTTCAAGTCCCGTATAGTGGCGAACTAGGGGATGAATCCGGGTTTGCGCACTTTCCGGTCCCCGATTTCAATAAAACTTGGTAATTATATGTAATTCCACGTACTTTTGAGGTCGGTTTTTTACTAAAGTGTCGCTTTTGTTATAAAAATACACACAACTGAGGCGATTCAAAATCGACTTAATCAGACAGACTGATGAAGCTCATTCATTAGTCTTTGGGAGGTCTGTGTCCAGCAGTGGACGTCCACTTCACATCTGTGCAAACAGCACATTCGTATTCTAATCTTTACGCGTTTATATTATTAACCAGTTTACAAGCACCGGAAATCGCTCTAGCGCATTTATAATGGCGAAATGACATCATGCTTAACATGTCAAGATAGTGTAAGCCTTACCGTGTTAGGAAGAAAGTTTAAAATCAATGCAAAATCTATCATTTATACGTTAAAAACGTTCGATAAGAAAGATACCTTCACTTTCGTTTAGGAATGTGAGATTTTCGCGCGTAAAATATGTAACTGTCATTATGTTCTTTTTTTAAACTGACGCGACTAATTGTAACTACAGTACCGACACGCTATGATGGCCGTTTTGACACATTAAAATAGTGACGTCAAATCCAATTCATTATCGAAAAAAATACCATCAAGTGCGAGTCGCATCTATAAGTTTTTAGATGTATAACTAGTGTTGTTAATTAAACGAAAATAAAAATGTTTACTTAATATATCGTCAATTCGAAACTGCTTTGTTTTGCATTGAGCTTTGACGCGGGTGTGCCGGAGGTAGAAGTTGTGCTGGCCAGCGATCCCATAAGTGACGATCGAATTAGATCTCATTATTAAAAATTTCGAATTTCGAGAAACAAATCTTAAATTTTACTGCACGTCACTATTGACAATTGGCTTAACAAATGTCAAAACGGCCATCATAGCGTGCCGGTACCCTAAGAATTATTTATGTTCCTGTCTATTCCATCAAAAAGAAGTACAAATGAAGACAACGCATAAATTATAAAACAAAACTCTTCAATTATTTTATTTAAATAACACTATGTAGTAAATTTTCTAAAAGATTCTGTTTCTGCCGCTTGATTTTGATTGATCTGGCCGATCGAAAACTTGTGACATTTCTAATCGGAACTATAGTTGATTTAACTCACAAATTAGAAAGGTTTAGGAACCAGGTTCATCTTCTCGCTTGTAAACCCATCTGATTTCGAGACACCCTATCGGATCGGAAAATCAACATGCTCGTTTGACAAAATTGGTTTCTGTACAGCAAGTAGGTATGTAGAAAAGAGCAGATCTATACCCCAGAAAGTTGCTTTTGTGGCTACCACAGTGATATTTGCATAGTTACATAGCGTATTTACATAAAATCGCAAATGTACATATTTCCAAGTTCAATGTTATCAATTTATAGGCTTTCGGTTGAAATATAATTATTGATTTGAAAGAGAAACCCGAACAATTGTGTTTGCTTAACATTCTGACCACAAAACGCAGATTTTTCATGTTTTTATGATAAACAAATTAGTAAATTATATTGACAACCTATAAACAAAAAACGTATTTACATGGTGTCAATTAAAAAGATTTAGAATAAAAAAATATTAGTTTTATTTTCAAATTTAAAATAACTTAGTTATATATACCTTATTAAACATCAAAACGTTAAAGCGAATTAGTAAAGAAGGATTTACAAAAATAACATCCTTGCTTCCTTAAAAAAAAGGTTCAACAACCTTATCGATGGTAGGTACAAGGTTAAATAGCTGACGTAACTAACAAGTTTTATAACGTTTACGACATTGAAAAACTATTATTAATTAACACCCCACTGCTGAACGAGGGTTTCGGAACATTGCACGCATAATCATAGGCCCTGTCTTGGGTATTTTCGCCTCCGAGTTATAAAGTAGACCCTTTTGCTTTCATCATCAACCCATTGTCTCACGGATCTTCTCTCAGGCAAGAGTTTAAGGCCATAGCTTTCCCGAGGATTGCGAACCTTATTCGACGTCCGACGAGCTCATGGTATATTTCAAATTAAATTTCGTACATATATTCCGAGAAACTCAGACCTGCGCTCCGGGATTCGATCCCACGGCCTCTGTTTGAGAGGCTCAGTCAAACCATAGGGCTAACACGAGTTATCAATAATTTTCAGTATTTGTTTTAAAATTCTGTTTTAAAATGCTTATTTTGGGTTAATTAGAAATAGAACACTTTTTGTTCTTTTAAATTTTTCTCTAAAGATTGTTGGAACAAAAGTTTTGTATATCACAGATTTGAGTGGCACTGCCACTGCGCCTGTCACCTTGACAAGTCCCATGTGTCTCTAATTTCCCCAGCACCCTTCAAAACCGGAACGCAGTATGTTCACATTACGGCTTGGCGGCAGAAATAGGTAAGATGGCAGTCTTTCACAAGGAGCTCTATTGTACTAAAATTTTGTTAAATTCAATCAAGAAGGTTTTTTTTATTTAATTGGGACTTCATGGAGCAAATTATAATTTACATAAAGCCCTAGCCTACGAGTTTTCTTCCAAAGAAAAACCGTTAACCACTCCTAGATGTTTTTATCCTTATTTATATAATTAGAGCGGAAAGCATTTTCCTAATTATAGTACGTATTTTAGAAATTAAATACGATAATAATAAACACGGAATAAAAATATAATTACGAGTAAATTCAGTTTTCTAAATTACTACATTTTCGACATAAATCGGACGTCAGACGTTATATTTTTTAAACGTACATCCTGTTCTAATTTTGAATAACTAAAAAAAAGAAACAAAAGATATTTGGCGATGAAAAAGTTTATATTAAAAAAAAACTTACTCGGAGCACTGGCAGTTGATTTCGCAGTTCTTGCTGCTTTCGCCCCACATTTTGACAATCACAAAATATAGTTCGCAATAAAAACACAAATAAACATTCACAGGGCCAAGTCCATTTTGTAATTCAGTCTTTTTGATTCTCTCTCAGCTGATTGGTTGTTTATTACGCACGCGCGCGGCGATCCGTCGCTTTCAGCGGTTCGTCGGCGACTAAATTTTAAATTCTAATTCCCCCTGCTTCCCCTAGCCGTCTCGGTCTCGCTCGCTGCCCGGCCACCCTTGAGATCCTGTGTTGTCAGCTTTGGAATGTTCCTACTTTATTGTAGGATACTGTTCTCAACGCAAATGCCAAACGTGTTGTTTTTCACAAAACTACGTTAAATTTAAAGTTTTTTTATGCAAAATTACTTTATTTAACAAAGAAATGAGGTTGCCTAGGAGAGATGTCTATAGTTAGTTATCTTTTTTACGTAACTAGCTGATTTCGCTTGCTCTGATGTTAAATGGAATATGAAATCCAAAGTGAAAGATTCTCGTGTTCTGTGGAAATTCCTGCCCTAGCTACCTCCACTACGTACAAGTTGTCTCTTTGTATGGGTTTTGGTGTGCAATAATAAATGTTTTTGTATTTAATGACCTCCATGATGGCGTGGCTTGAACATCGGTTTTCGTGGTGTCGCCATCTCTGAGGTCCCGGGTTCGATTCCCGGGCCGGGAGCAGTAATGGTTCGGCCACGGAGGCAGTTAAAACAAATAAATTCAAGTTAGACACGTTTTAGAAGGCACTTATAATTTTTTTGTTCTGATAATTAAAATAATTACCTTGTAAAAGTCATAGACGATTTCGAGTCCATTAGTCTACGGAGAGACGTTGGTTCTCTGCTTGTGTTCTACCGCCTTTATAATAGGAAGTGCTCAGATGAACTTTTAAACTGGTGCCACTGTCTCGTTTCCACCATTGCACCTCTCGCCAAAGGAATAAAGCCCATCCCCACATCTTAGATGCCAGACATTGTAAAACCATTCGTTCATTCCTTCCTCGAATCTGCAAGATGTGGAATGATCTTTCTGAAGTATTTTCTTTGCTCTACGACATGGGGTTCTTCAAAATGCGCATCAACAGGGCTCTGAAAGACTGGGAACGTATAGGCAGCTCTTCTGATACTACAAATGTCCATGTGCGACGATGATTAACTCCAATCAAGAGGCTCGTCAGCTCATTTGCTTTTTACTTTACGTAAGAAAAACACAACTACGATGATGATGATTTAATATGACCTCTGTCAGTCTTGAGTGGCCATAGGACCTGTGAAGAGCCCAACAAGTTGGTTTGTTTTAAAAAAAAGAGCTACATTTGGTATGAAAACTGTTTTTTTTAATTAAATAGGCTTTTAATATAAAGATCCAGCACTAAAAAATTACTTTGATTTGACTGGATTCAAAGCAACGTCTTCCAGCAAACAGTGCCAGACGCAATGGCAACTAAGCCACAGAACGACATAGCAGACCTTACGAATTTTTCTATGTGCTTATTGTTATCTGTGAGAAATCTATGAAAGTTGGAAAAATGTTTAAATAGATTGTCAAATTCGTAAAAACGATGAAGTTAATTCCTAACTCCTTTTCTTAAATCTAGATTTTTCTTTCTTAACCTTTCATTTTATTCCCATAGCTTTTCTTCACACAGCCGTATTACAAATTAGTGGAGTAATTTCACAAAAAGAATTAGACATCATGGTGTTCAAACATTGTGACTTTTAAAAAACTTAAAAAAAATTTGTTTTTGAGGTTTTCGTTGATGTTTTATTATTTAGGGATCTGTCTCTCATTTGGATATTTACACTGTGAATTTCTACTAGCTACGCAGATTTTTCAAACACGCCAATTTACTTTTTATAAAGAAAAAACACCTAGACGTAAAATATCATTTTATTAACCAATTTTATTTGTATCTTACAAAAACCGTTACAAATATGGAAAAAAATATTATTAAAAAACTGGCAACTCTGGCCACTCCCGCGCTGCACGTCGCTTCCCCTCCCTAACTGGAATGACTGTCTTTGCCCAACGTTATTGCATTTTAAACTTTACTTTCTGCTAATAAGATAGAGTTTATTTAGTGTTTTCGTGAAAGGAATGTCATTACAAAAATCATATGGGAAGCAAATCTCGTTCCCGGCCGTCGGTTAAAAACTACAAAAAGCGAAAGTAACTCTTACTGTTAATAAATAGAGTTCAAATTTAACTGCGTTTGTTTTAAGAATTTAGTATACATAAACAACACTATAGAAACAGGTACGTACAAACTCTTGTTAAAAATTTGAAATAAAATAGTCTATTATCAGCTGATGACTGCAGTTTGCATTTTTAACCGACTACGGCCGAGAAAAACGGAAATGTCATGGTTTCGGTGGGGTTTTCTTTAATGATACCCAATCAGATTTAAATACAAAGAGCTGATGGGCCCTTCCGCTGCGTCCATCATCACCCTGAGACATAAGTTGACAAGACCCCAGGTACGTGTAATTTCACCAGCACTGGAACGTAGTAAACCATGCTGATTGGAGACTTCACAGGTTTTCCGTGGGTTGTGAACCTTCTTCCACGTGCAGTTTCATCATTGCATTCTTTGCTTCACCGAAAATTTCGCACATGAATGCCGAGAAAGCCCGGATTCGAACTCGCGGCGTCTGCTTGAAAGGCGGTAGGTTAGGCTACCACGGCTTCTCTGACATGATTGTTATTAATTAAGAATATTATGGAAATTCCCGGAGATCGTAGGAGCGTATGAGTGCTAGTTAAATTACATTTTTTTTGCCAGGCCGATTGCTACACCTACCTAAGTTATGATTAATGGAAAATCTTTTATTTATTTGAAATATCTAGACATTAATACATATTAATAGTCTGTGGGTACAACTTATAATATCTTGAATAAAAAAATAGTATTATAATTCTGTTTAATTATTTTTTTGTGTACATTTATGTTAGTGAACAAGCCATTAAAGAACTGGTCTGTAAAGAAAAACTGCAACCGTCAAAGAGATTTGAATTTAAATATCGAATAGAATTTAAATAAAACAGCTGATTGCCTATATTTTTATAGTAGATACTTTTTTTATGTTAATGGCACTGGAGTCTTGGAGTACTATTTAATTATTATTGCAATGACGTCTTCATTTTAGTGAGGGACAAGTAGGAAATAGCAGGATAACAAAGTAACAGCTATTGTTAATTTTGTTCCATATTTAAACAAAAACAAAAGATACTAATGTAGAGCATAAATCTATATATAACATTCTTTATGAGTGTAAACTGGATGGTCACATTTTGAGATCTCTTCATCGTTCATATTATATTTAGTTTCCCGTGTGTCATCATTTGATGATGAGGAGCGTACCGGGGTATTCAAGTTAGTTAGTTTCGGTCGTTTAACAAAGTACCTATATTCACATCACTTTGCTCAACGAACTTTTGGCGTTGGCACCAGAGTAGATCTCCTTGCTTGCATGGGGATGGGCGGCTGTGATTGTGTTGTTATTCTGTGAAGTGATGCATGTAAAGGTATCCTGTGTTTTATTACGTTTTTTCTCTGTTTTCCTTATTGTTGTCTGTCAATTATCTTAGTATCACGATACATTAGTTTCTTAATTGTAATACCGTGTAATATTTACAATAAATAAATAAATATTTTTATTATGGTTAAATTAGGTGCGCATTTGACCTCCATCTCACTTCAAGGAAAGTGATGATAATGTCGTCGATGGAACTGTGTTAAAAAAAAAATCCTCCGTCAAATAATCTTTTATTCCATAGGTAGAATGTTTACACTTGAAAGCGTCATTTTGACCTCCCAAAGAAGAACGAGCAGGAAACTCTAGGAATTGCTCTTTTCAAATAAACTTAAATGCTATGGAATACACTTTAGTGTGGAATCTAGAGCCGTGTCGTCTGTATAAACACCTTTATCTAACACGTGATCTTCAATTTTGTAATATGACTTTTCAATTAAAATATTTTTAATGTAGTTTTTAAATGTAGAAAATTAATTGTAAAAACGTATACAGTTCCCCATAAAAGAGTCGTTTGCCTTGGCTAAACGAAACCATGAGTTTGGATTTAGCTCTAAAGTTAATATTATGGATATCTTCAGTCTTAATGAAATTAATTATATTCTTAAGCGTACTGTGATGCCGCAGTCATGATAACAGTCTCCTTAAACTTGTCTCTGAGAGAAACCCGACAACCTAAACGTTACACAGAACTAATCGTTTTTATATATACATATATATCATCAACGACTTCTCCCACTATTGTGTATAGGCCTCTCGTAGTTTGTGCCATCCATCACGAACTTGCCCCAGCCTCACTCATTAACAGCCCGCAAGTTTGACGGTGTAATCGATTAGTCTCGCTGCAGGACGTCTCTTGTTTCTGTAACCACTCCTTGGGTACTATTCGCTTGTCGCTTTACTCCATCTATCATCACCACGCCTCGCAATATAATATTAATTTGTTTTAGAAGAAAGTACAGGACATTATGATTTATACAGCAATATAATTTTTAGTATGTACAAATGTTCGTGGGTTCGTTTGAAACCATCATAACCTGTTCTAAGTTCGGGACTTATATTAATAGGATATGATGGTTCTCCATTGGCTGTGGTAGCCAAATAGTTTGATCTTCAAGCAGAGATCCTAGAGATCCGGGCACCTCGAAATTTACATGCGTAATTTAATTTGAAAACCATGTATTAAAATTACCACAGTATATTTTTTATTTTATAATATGACGACGAACAAGTCGTGCGCCTGATGGTAAGCTGCACGCCTGTTCGTAACAGCAGCAGTGCCACTCAGAGCTTTAAATCGCAAAGATCTGAGGAGCATTGCCTTCGCGCCCGTCACCCTGAGACATAAGTTGACAAGTCCCATGTGCCTGTGTTTTCACCAGCACCCTTGCCCTTCAAAACTTACTGCTTGGCGGCAGAAATAGGTAAGATGGCAGTACTTCCCTAGACGAACTCTTTCACAAGGAGCTTTGCTGCTACTGAAGTATAGTATAGTATCAACTAGTATGATACCAGTTACAAAGCTCCATCACTACAATGTTTGTTTTTTGCTATCTACCATCCAACCGTTGCTGGACATGATAGGATTTAATAAAACGGGTTTATCTAGAATTCTAAAGTAATCTGATAGTTA